CTTCATATTCCGGCCTCATGCCCCCCTACCCCCTGTTTTCGTTGCGTGTTTGCACCACTCCTGCCCCCTTATCTTACGTGGCTCTTTCTCCTCCTACTCCTCCTCCACCCTGCTCCTTCTCCCCCCCCTTCCTTCCTTCTTCCTCCTCGGTTACCTCTGCAAATCCACTGTCTGTCTCCTGTCTCTCCCATCCCGTGCCCCGCCCAGCGTGGCCCCGCGCGCGGCCCGCGCCCAGGCGCTGCGCGGTCCCGCAGGCCCGCCGGCAGCCCGCCCCCGCGCTCTGGCCGGGGCCCTTTCTCCGGAGGAAGAGGATGGCGAGAAGGGTCAGAGAGAGGGGGAGAGAGGGGCACGTCATCGACACACACACGCACACATATCTATATATACATATACATATATACATACATATACATGTGTATATAAATTTATACGAGAGGGAAGAGAGCAGAGAGGATACATGTACAGACATAAACATATCAAGGTAGATAGGAGTAGATATCGAGAGAGAGAGAGAGAGAGAGTGCGGTTCCAAGCACGATTTAGTCGACCCCGCGGTGTCCAATCCAGGCGAGGGCGCCCTGCAGTTCGAGTCGCGGCGCGGGTGGGTCGCGGATGGTTTGCTGCGCCGATGGTTCGCGGGTGGGTCGCCGGTGGGTTGCGGTGCGGGTGAGCCGTTCGGTCCCCTCACTGACCGATGTTGGTGACCTCTTGGATCCGTCTTGGGGCTCTCTCGGGACCGTGTCCTCTTGTGCCCCTCCGAGGGCCCTGTGACGGGTCCAACGCGGAGGGCTCTAAGATGAATTCGAAAGGGATCCAATATTGGTCAAAGGCTTCGCGCGACCGCTCTCGGGGCCATCTTGGGGCCCTCATGGAGCCGTCTCGAGGCCCTTTGGGGCCATTCCGAAGGCTTCAAACGGCTCCACCATGGATCGACGATGATTCCAATCTGGTCCCGAGAGCGGTCACGCGAAGCCTCTCTCGCGTGACTGATCTTGGGTGCCTCTCAGGCACCTCGCGGGGCCGTCTGGGGGCGCTGCTGAAGCCGCCTTGCATTCCGACCGAGAACTGAAGGGACCGAACGACTCACCTCAGCCACCTCCTCCCTCCTCCCTCTGAGGCGCGCGCGTCGCCTCTCTCCCGCCTCCCTCCTCCCTTCTGGGCTTTCCCAGAAGCCAAATGCTTCCCGGCTCCTCCAAGACGGGCGGGTGGCGGGGCCGACTGGTCGCGGGCGGGTCGCGAGGCGGTTGGGTCGCAAGTGGGTCGGTCGTAAGCGCCGCGCCCGCCCGCCTGCGCCATTACTCTTATCAGGCATTGCGGGGCGCCACGGAGAAAGAGGGAGAGATATATCGACATATATAGAGAGAGAGAGAAACAAATGAGAGAGGGATACATACGTAACAACAACAGCAACATCAATAACAACAACAACAACAATCATAACAACAACACCAACAACAATGACAACAACAAAATGCATGGGCCCCTGGCCCGTGTTCAGGGCCCTGCCGAGGGCAAAAGGGAGCCCAAACCAGATAGATGAGTGATGTGCTTTCTGGGGGGCCCTTTTGGACCAGCTCTGAAACTCTGAAGGGCGAAAAGTCACGAAGGCAAGCGCTTGGGGCTGCGAGGGCAAGGGTTTGAGCGGACAGGAATCGTTTTTCGTTTTTGTTTCCCCCCGAGTGTGTCTGGTCTGCAGTATCAAAAAACGGTTGAAGCTCTGACGGGCCCTATCGCGGCCCTCTCGGTGCCCTCCTGGGCACTCTTTGAAGCCTCTTGGGCCTTCTTTGTGTTTGTGCAAGATGTATCGCGTATTCATTTTGTGCGCGGTCCTCCTGCGGTCCACTTGGAGCCCTCCTGGGCCCCGCTCGGAGCTCTGACAGGTCCTCTCGGGGCTCTCTCGGGCCTTCTCGGAGGCCTCTTGGGGCTTCTCTTGGGGTCTCCGATGAGCTCGGAAAGGGGGCCCAGGAGGGGCCGAAGCCAGATGGATCAGATATCCATGTGTTTGTTGGTCCTCTTGGAGCCTTCTTGGATGCCTCTTGGGGTTCTGAAGGGCCCCCTCGGGGCCCTGTCTGTTTTTTTTTTTTTTTTTTGTGTGCCTCTCGGGGCTTTCCGAGGAGGTCCGGGGAACTTAGAGGGGGAGAGGGTTCACAAAATACCGAAACCATCTCGATCCGTGATCTATCTGGCGCGTGGTCCTCTTGGGGCCCCTCGACAGACAGGGGGCGAGAGAGAGAGAGAGAGAGAGAGAGAGAGAGAGAGAGAGAGAGAGAGAGAGAGAGAGAGAGAGAGAGAGAGAGAGAGAACAAATAAAACAAAAACAATAGATGAGAGAGCGAGAGAGGAGAGAGGAGAGAGAGAGAGAGAGAGATAGAGAAGAGAGAAAGAGAGAGAGAGAGAGAGAGAGAGAGAGAGAGAGAGAGAGAGGAGAGAGAGAGAGAGAGAGAGAGAGAGAGAGAAAAGAGCGAGAGAGAAGAGAGAGAAGAGAGAGAGAGAGAGAGAGAGAGAGAGAGAGAGAGAGAGAGAGGGAGAGAGAGAGAGAGAGAACACAGAGAGAGGGGGGAGAGAGAGAGAGAGAGAGAGAGAGAGAGAGAGAGAGAGAGAGAGAGAGAGAGAGAGAGAGAGAGAGAGAGAGAGAGAGAAAGAGATAGAGAGAGAGATGGCTCAGAGATCAGATGGCGAGCGCCGACCGACCACGACTGGCCCCACCATCTTTCTGACCCAATAGTGTCCCACCTCGCGTATCATCCTTCTCTTCTCGCCTTCGCTCGACCTCGTCCCCGTCGGTCGCTCGGCGGGCTCCCATGCCGCCCCCGTCACCCAGGCGAACGATTATTCATTTGGCGCCCTCTCCCTGCCCAGACCGTCCTCCCACTCCACCACTTCCTGCATCGGGCATCTTCTGGTTTCCTCTTCTCTTGTTTTCCTTCTGCACCCCCTTGCTTCCGCCCGCGGCGCCCCGCCCCGCGGCCGCCGCGCTAGGTCACTGGAAGAAGTTCGTCTTGACGTTGGCGAGCGAAGGCCGGACCCCTTCCCTCGAGGATGCGCCGCGCTTCGTTCGCTTCCTGGGCCACGAGCTCCGGGGGTGGGATGATATGCGAGGTCGACTCCAATCCCTCGCACCGGTGGTAGTCGTGCCCGACTCGAGCGACGACGAGGGACGGGGCGGCGAGCGGGCAGGAGAGCAGATCGTCCCTTCATCGAGCCACTCTGGCCAGATAGTGCCAGCAGCTGAAGCGACAGACGCCAGAGACGCCCAAATCCGAAAGCTGCGCGAAACCATTGCAAAGCAGAGGCCGGGGATCCGCAACGCATGGGGCCTGCGTTCTTGGGCTGCCCGGGGGTCTAAACTTTCGCGACTGCGCCCCTGGATGGGCCGCTCTCGCGATGGCGCTTTCGGGCGACCCGGGTGGCCAAGATCGCAGCCCCTTTCGTTGCGGCTGCCCGGGGGGGACGACGATCCGCAACCTCCAACAGAAGCTCAGGCGTCGACAGCTACCGCGAAGCATAAGGAGTTGGGGGCAGTCGAAGGGAGTGGGCAGCTGGTAGGAGAAAGGAAAAAGGGGGCACGGGTAGAGCAGGAGGAAGGGAAGGGCGCAGTAGCGATGGGGGTCCGAATCCTCTTACCCTCCCCCCCTCCTCTTCTTCCGCCTCATCTTACTCGTCTGGGGCGCCTGGATCGGATCCGACGGTCCTTAGACCGCCGTTTGGTTTTTCGTCATGAGGGGCTCTTGGACATTGGGGGCCCAACGGCCCCCATCGCCGCGCCCTCCTGGGCTCTCGGAACCTCGAATGGGTCGCCCGATATCTGGGGGAGAGCTTTCAGATATATCCTAATAGTACATTATCATTGCCCCTCACCCGCGCCCTTCCCCTCCCCGGGCCCCTCCCCCTTCCTCAGCGCCATCCGTGTCCAGGGAGTCCAGGGCCCCACGCCCCTCGCACCCCCGATGCTTCGCTGGTAGCCGGGTAGGGCGCGTCAGTTGCAGCTGCAGGGGGCGACGGGTGCAAGTGTTGCATCGACTCCTGCTCCTGCTAGTTGTATGGATATAAGACGGAAGGCAGGCAACGTACGGCTGACTGATTCAAGTAAGGTTTCCCTGGCCCTGCGCCGAAACTACTCTAATGTTGCTGCGTCAGACCTTGGGAAAGTGCTTCTGGATGATGTGTCTGGGCAAACAGTATGCCGCGCAGAAATTCTCACAGGAACGATGCTATGTGCGTCGGCCAGGTTTGGTTTCTATCAGACGGCGTTGCAGCAGTTGAGATCCCCGGCGAGCCCTGGTCTGATGGTGCATTCAATTTTGTCAGATGCCACGAACAGCTCAGTTTTCAAAGGTCAGAAATTGCAGGCTACTATTATTGAGAGCATGTATGTGGCCGGCACCGTGAGTCTCCCGTGCACGTCCCTGAGAGACGACCTCGTGGCGTTATCCAAGGAGTGCCGCCACATCAAGAGGGTCGCAGATATTCTGGCTGTTACGGACCCGAGTGCTAAAGGCTTATGGACCTTGCTGCACAAGCAAATGGCTAGCGTCGGGTGCCCCACATGGTCGGAAACAGTTTCAGCCGGGCCCCGGGCAATCAAATGGGCTAAGCAGGGCGAGGTAGGTAGGAGGAACGAGGCTGGAGGAGAAGGAGAAAGGCGGGGGCAGCAGAGTAGCTGAGTAAGGCTGAGTAAGGCATGGTATCCAGGAGGAGGGAAGGGGGGCCAGGCCCGTTCGCTGCTGCTTCTTTCCTGAAGCACACCCCGCAGCCCCCGCTGGGAAGCGCCCCAGGGCGCGGGCGAGGCGAGGAGCCCGGAAGAGCATGACGAAGGAGAAGGAGGGAGGATAACAATGTTATCCTCCCTCTGCCGTGTTATCCGATAACACGGCAGAGCCTTCCGCCAGCTCATCCGCCCTCCCTATCCTCATCATCTTTACCATCCCCCTTGCCCTCCATATCTGTCCTTTCCCCCTCCTCTGCGCCGCCCCCTCAGTCACTCACTCGGGCAAATTACATGATCATGATCATGGTCTTCGATCTCGGCCGATTCCTCGCCCGCGCTCTCTTCTGATCATTCGCGTCTCCTTGCTGGCCCAATGTAATGCCATCCTCCTCCTCCTCCTCCTCCTCCTGCCCATCCTGCCCATCCTCTCTGCCAGCTGGCATTCGGCTCCTCGCTCTGCCTCCCGGCCTCCGCCTATCTTCGGCCATCCTTCTCCTTCCTCTCCTCCCCCGCCCCCCTCTCTTCCTTCGCCAAACGCCCAAACCAGACCCTCCACCTCCAAGCGCCCAAGCGCTCCTCAGCACTCGGCCCGCGCTCCCAGGTCAGAGAGTGAGACAGGCACGCTCACGACCTACATCTATACGGCGGACCAAGGCCCCGATCAGATTGGCCTCAAGAAGATCGTTCGCTGCGCTGTCGGGGGAAGCGTCCGCTGCTGCTCTCTCCACGTCGACTGCTTGCAACATAACAATCATAGGATGGTGAAGGGAGGCTTAACGTTGGAGGAGATGGTCCTCCACGATTTGGGCGTGGAGTGGAAATACTACAGTTCCCTTTGTAAGTTGACCCACGCGTGGCGTGACGTCCACGGCAGCATCTTCCAAACGTGGTCACGTTTGCATGGGCCCTTGAGTGCCGTGAGCCTTGTGAGGTGCTTGCCCCGGAGGCCGATCTCAGAGAGATGGGGGACCATCGACGGTTGCGAATCATACATGTTGAACGCCGGCCGCTTCCGAGTGGCAACCGTGGCGCCCTCAGTGTTGACCAGCCTCGCCAAGAAAACGAACGCAGCTAAACCAAATCCCAAGAAGAAGCGCCCCGTCCCCATCGAAGACGATAAACCAGACGGACCTGGACCCCTTGACGAAATAGCGATCGAGGAGACTAGGAGGTATCGGGACATGATGGGCCGCTGGCGCCGAGATGTTTGCCTTGTCATCGAGGATCCCATATTCTGGATCACCCTCAGATTCTCGCACCGGGCCCGCAGTCCTCTCACGGGCTTCTTAGCATATAATCAAAAGGTCAGGGGGAATGATGAGTTATGGGCGGAAGGTCCGGCGATAGTACAACTCGTGACGGGCAAAGCCCGAAATTTTATGGGAGAATTTGATAAGATGCTGGGAGATCCCTGGTGGAAAAGTAATAGATGAATACAGGGAAGAGTTGACTGCGGACCAGCGCATAGGCATGAATCTACTCGCCTCTTCATTGGTACTCTTTTACGCAGCTGCATTCGATCGGCGCATTGTCCGACCGATTGGGAAGCTCCTGGGTGGTCCGAGAACTGTCTCTCTGTCTCTCTACTTCGTTGGGGGCGGGCGACGGAAGGCATGGGCAGAGGGGCAGGGCCGGGGCAGGGCTGGCGAAGCCGGGCGGAGAAATCGGGGGAAGGACCTAAGGAGTCGGAGGTGGGCAGGGGGCCTCGCGCCCTCGCTGTCGGAGACGACGTCGCCCTCGTTGCTCTCGTCGACTCCTGCCCTGGCCCTCCCTTGTGGCCAGCACTCCGTTGCTTGCCGCGGGCGCGCGTTGGGCGAGTCCCGGAGCGCCCCGAGGACGAAGCGAGGGGCATGAGGATAATGAGAAGGAGAAGAGGAAGGAAGGATGTGGAGAAGGAGATGGAGGAGGACAAGAAAGAGGAGGAGGAGGAGGAGGAGGAGGAAGGAGGAGGAGGTGGAAGATAATGAGGAGTCCTCTAATGAGGAGTGTCACGGGAGTCCGAGGAGCGGAGGCCCCTGGAGGGCAGCCCGCGCGAGGACTGCGAGAGGTGCGCGGGGATGTGGCAGGGCGGGGCTGAGATGTAAGGAAGACGACCTGAGAGTGAGGTCGCCTCAACGGCTGCACCCCCGCCTCTCCCCGCGCGCCCCAGGTTCCCGTTGAAATTATTCTGGCTGGCATTTGAGAGGCACAACGTCTACTGCAGCGAGCGCCAAGGCGCGCGCCCTCTTGCCGCGGTGCGCTTCACGTCTGCGAGGCCCCGAGTGAGCAGTCGGCACGGCGGCCCCTGCGGGCCGTGGGCTGGCAACTGCTACTGAGCATCTTCGGTTGAGATGCTCTCGAGGCTCTCCAGGGGGCCTCCAGGGGTCTGGGTCGCCCCCTAGGGCCCCAGGGTTTTTTTCTGCCCATCAGATCGGGCCTCTCCCAGGCTCTCTCAGGGTCTCAGGGCTCGCGTGGGATTCTTTGGGGCGAATGCAGGCCCGATCGGCCCTCGCGCGCAGCGGGCGCAATCAAAGGCCCCGGGGGCCGAGCTAGACACAACGCGTCGGCCCGGGTCGGGCTCGGGTGGGGTGCTCGCCCTTCTAGACATCAGCAGACATCTACTTGTGCTTGATGCGTAAACGCAGTTCCCCCCCTCCGTCTCTCGTCATAGTTGTCGCCACCGCTTGCGCACCAATCCCAGGAGTTGCGTATGAGATATTACATGCGGACGGGCTAGATGATGTGACTAATACTATCCAGCTGCCTCTGGCAATTCCTCCAACGTGCCAGCGCATCACCTTGGGACTCTGGGTGGCAGCTGACCTCAAGGGGGGTTTGGTTGCCCGGGGACCTCCATGAGTACGCGTGCAAGTAGGCGCGACGTTCGAGGCGGGTGGGCCCCGTAAGACCACGTGACATAAGTCCTGCCATACAGCACTTGGTATTTATCCAGCCTTGACGTGTCAGGAGGCACGGTGGCGGATCAAAGCTTGTTTCAATGATGACCTTAAGATAGCAGCTACTGACGGTACGTGCCCATGTAGACTTTGGATTGTTATAGTTATGTGGCGACGTATGATAAAGGGTGATCAACAAGCTGCGGAAACGGTCAACAAGCTGATTACCATCCAATCAAACCGTGCACCTAATATAAGTGTCGACCTAATGAGCTCTAGAGTACAGATAAAAGGACTACTCGATAGATCTCGAGCATCACTCAATAAGAAATGGAGAGACTGTAAAGCAGAGGCACACGCTATCATGAATACTTGTATGGCCCACGTGAAGGATGCCAAGGCCCTTACCGACGTGCTCAGGTTTGCTACGCCAACCCATCACCACCCATTGCCCGTCTCTGACATTGATCCTAGTCTTGCTGACCTACCTCCATTGCCGCCGGCGTTGCCGCCCAAGCCCCCGATGGGGGGCGCCGCAGGGGCCTCGGGGCCCGCGCTCGCGGAGCCAGCTGCGCCAGTGCCGATTGGAGACGCCCCCGCGGCAGGCGATGTTCGGGCAGATGCCCCCGCCGCTGCCCCGCCACGCGCTGGCCCCCCTGCCCCGCCTGGCCCAGCACTCTCGTGGGAGGACGTGGAACGAGCGAGCAAGTACAACTCCCAGTGGCATGCGCTGACGAAAAAGCACAGGGGGGTCACGAATATGTTGGAGATGCAGCCGATGGCAGACGATACGACAGTCGGCAGTCCAGCGTATTTTGTGTGCTGCGAGAAGTTCAGATCCCATGGCCACTTTGCCAGGTGCTACTACGATGGCGCGACTGGATCAGTTGTTGTGCATCGTCCTTTGGCAGATGCGTTTCGCTCTTCCGTCGAAGTCTTCGCGTCTGAGCATCACAGCACGAACGCCATGCACGCTAGGCAGGACGTCGACTCCATCCCGCTGGCCGCGCTGATCAAGAAGGGGGTCAAGGTGAACCAGAGCGTCCGCATATCACACAAGAAACTGACTTGGGGCAAAGTTGGGCATGCAGAGGCTGCTTCGGAATCCACGCATTTGTTCACAGTGACGAAGCAGTCAGACGATAAGAAGCGCAAGGCTACGCAACCACCCGGGGCCCATGCAGCCGGGGCGGGCCCGTCGTCGGCCCCGGCTCGGGCGGCTGCGACGGCGGCCGCAGTCGAGCTGACGAGGGCGGCCAACGGAGAGGACGAGGATGGCGAGGGCGGCGAGGGCGACGCATGCGACACCGACGGCGTGTTCGAGGCTGAGCTGACCAAGGTGATCGACAGGATCGAGAAGCAGGAGGAGAAGGCAGTCACTGCCGCTGCCAAGGCGGGGAAGATCTCCGACAAGGCCTTGCAGGAGGCAGCTGCGATGGTCGTCGGTCCGGCAGGTGGTGAATCATTCCCGGAGTTGCTGATAGAGGCCGCGTGCAATAGCAGTGCTGTTTACGGCGTCGTGGAGGGCGGGGATTACCTTGATTTGTTGCAGAAGGAGTCGCGTCACCAAGTGTCGGCGGGGATCGACTTCCTGTCTCGCGTGCCTGGCCGTGCAGCTCAAGACGTCGTGCCCGGCGCGAACGGCGAGTTCTCTCTGATCACCTTCCAGGGCCGGGCTCGCGTTGCTTCGTGGACCAGCATGAAGGCCAACAAGGCGCGCTTGGTTCGGCAAGACCTCGAGGGGAAGCTGAAGACGATAGTGCCCATGCATGATCCAGAGGTGACGTTGGGCCCCGGCTCGGTCGTGATCCACCCGTCCATTGGCTTGTCGGAGCGGCGCATCAGGGGGCCGCAGCGTGAAAGATTGGAGATTCCGAAAATCAGGAAGACGGAAATTGAGAATCCCCGCCAGACTTTACCAGATGACATCAACAATTTGATGGGCAGGTGGCAGATTGCGTTGCGTGAGCCAGAGACGATGTCAACCCTTGTGTGCATACGCTGTTTGAGTGAAGATGGTACTTCGAAGCCCGCCAATGTTGCGTGCCCGGTGTGCCGCTTCAGCTGGCACGACTCATGCATGGAGTCTTGCAGTGCAGACGATATCGTACATCGTCTACCCGACCTTATAGTACCGCAGAACTTTGAGCTTCATGGGATATTGTCGCGGTCCCGCGGCAGCGGCCTGCTTTCCTTTTCTTATTTGTGTTGTTGACTTGCTTCGCATGCGTACTGTTGATTTGCGGCGCCAGCCGTCCCCCTGTGGATCGCAACCTTGCAGCGTTCATTTCTTCAGTCACATCCCACCCCAATGCATGCGTCTCTCCCTCTCCGCGCCACTTCCCCACAACAGCTGCAGCTCGCGCGACTCTCTCGGGCGACATCTTGGGGGGCTCTCGGATCGGGGCCCCCTGATAGAGCCCGCTTGGACTGACGGGCGCCCCCAGAGAATACCTCTTGGAGCTCTCTTGCGGCCCCGTGCGGGACAGCGACAGCCCCGCATAGTGTGCGACGACCTGTGTGTAGATTCGAGCTCTTACTGGGCCCCCGCACCACCTCCCCCGGGCGCCCCCTGGGGCCCTCTCGACGCTCTCTCTGGGGGCCAAGGTGAGGAAGAGCGATGACAGGATATGCATTGGGGATCATGGAGTGGGGGAGGAGGAGGAGGAGGAGGAGGAGGAGGAGGAGGAGGAGGAGGAGGAGGCAGAGGAGAAGAACGATGAGGAGGATGAGGATAAGGATGAGGGCGAAGATGAGGACGCGGAGGAGGAGGAGGAGGACAAAGGATGAGGAGGAGAGGAGGGGGGGTAGGAGGAGGAGGAAGAGGAAGAGGAGGAGGAGGGAGTGGCGGTAGAGCTCATCTGCTGCTAAAGTCGGATTGTCGCTAGGTGCAATGTGGGGCCACCCCGTCTTGACGGCCTCGGCGGCCACGTCTCAAGACGAGACAACTCTCGCACGATGCGGATCACTCGCAGGGGGTGATTCGCATCGTGGCACTCCCGTGCCCCGTTTAGAGGCACCATCCGGAACTGTCTGAACACTTCACGTCGCTGATCAACCGCTCCTCCTCTCCTACCCCCTGTGCCCGGTGCCCCGCTCCGCGCCTGCAGGTCTCTGTGTTCGCGGTGTCGGGCTGCTCTGGCGAGATGATCCACCTCCTGGGAGCGCGCGCCCGGCTGCCAGGGGGGCCAGGGTGATGGTGAGTGTGAGGTCGAGAACAATGAGGATGAGGATGAGGATGGGGACGAGGGATGAGGACCACGAGGATGATGCGGATGATGATGATGATGATGATGACGATGATGATGATGATGAGGATGGTGGTGATGCAGATGCTGATGATGATGCTGATGATGATACTGATGATGGTGATGTTGGTGCTGATGATTAGACTGTTGATTGTGGCGCTTGTGACTCTGATGGTGGTGATGATGGCAAGGGCGATGCTGATAGTGATGATGGCGATGATGATGTCGATTTCAAAGCAAATCAGCGCCGCTGCTCAGAGCAGCACCCGCTCCACGCCAGGACATCAGCAGTGGGGCAGCGGAGCTGATGGCCGGCGACCACGACGCCGTCCGGGCCACATCGTGCGCCCCGCCCGCTGCCGCCGCCCCGGCGAGTCGAACTTAAGATGGACAAGGGGCCTCAATGTTGCCTCAAGATGATCTCTGGGCCGTCTTGGGCCTTCTGAAGCAGTCGAGCGGCCCTCGCAGGCCGTCGCGGGTGCGTTCGGGCGAGCGGGTCTCGGGCATGTCTTGGAGTCTTGGAGGCATATCGGGCCATCGCGGGCGTCTCTTGGTCTCTTGGGCCGTCTTGGAAGTCCCGTGGGCCTCTGGGGATCTTGGGCAGTCTCGAAGTGATGCAGGGCTAATCTTAAACCCTTAGACCTTAGACCCGTAGACAGTCTTGGCCAATCTTGGAGCTGGCTGGGATCATCTCAGCTGGTCAGCTGGAAAGCTGTTCGGAAGGACTTGTGGGCTCACCACAGAAGGGGCGCGGACGCATGGAGGAGGAGGAGGAGAAGGACGAGGAGGAGGAGGCGGATGGAGGAGGAGGGGGAGGAGGATGAGGAGGAGGAGGAGGAGGAGGAGAGGAGGAGGAGGAGGAGGAGGAGGAGGGGGAGGAGAGCGCCGTCCAAACTAGGCCACTTTGGTAGGGATCACTGCTCGGCCAGTGGAGCTCCCTTGTGGCAGTCTTGGAGCTCCCTTGGAGCCCTCTTGGGGTTCTCTTGGGGGCTTCCTGGGGCTCTCTTTGGTGCCCAGTGTGACAAGAAGATAACGCCGATGATGATGGTCACGAGAATGAGTCACTATGGCGACGATGATGCTGCTAATGATGAGGATCGTGGTGATGATGCCGGGCGGAGAGGGAAAGGAAAGGAGGATCGGACAGGAGTGGTTACCAGCAACAGGCCACCAGCAACATGTGACCAACCCAGCTGCCCAGCAGCAGGTGGCCAACGCCACGCGCCGAGCAACAGGTGACCGATTCAGCTGCCCAGCAACAGGTGACCAGCAACAACGACGGCACCCCTGCGCGCGATGGGGCCACACGTGCGCGCGGAGCTCCAGACCACGAAACGCGCGAGGGGATGTGCCGAAGGAGATGAGTGTGACTGCGATGATGATGAGGACGATGGTGATGGTGACGAGGACGAATCACGACGACGACGACTACGATGATGTTGATGTTGATGACGATGATTACGATGATGACGATGGCGATCATGAGAGAAGGGGGGGCGAAGGGGAATATGGGAGAAGGCGAGAGGTGACCAGCGGCAGGTCACCAGCAACAGGTGACCAGCCCCAATTGCCCAGCAACATGTGCCCAGCACCAAGTGTCGAGCAACAGGTGACCAGCAGCAGGTCGCCAGCAACAGGTGACCAGCCCCAGCTGCCCAGCAACAGGTGCCAGCACCGAATGCCGAGCAACAAGTGACCAACGCTGGTGACGAGCCGAAGGGCGCCCACCAATACGTGTCAGGCAACGTGCGGCAAGTTGGAGCGACAACATTCGGCATCGCATAGATTGGGGGGAGAAAAAGCAACGCGTGTCAGGCAACAGGCCAACGGCATCAAGTTCCAGCAACAAGCACGATCTCCAGATGGTCGGCGACATATGACCAGCCGAATGCTGAGCTACCTATGGGTAAACGTGACGCGTGATAGGTGTGCCCACTGTGACGAAGGTTATGACGACGATGATGATGGTCACGAGGAGGATTCACGATGGCGATGCTGATGCTGCTGATGATGAGGATACTAGTGATAATGCCCGGCGGAGAGGGAAAAGAACGGACGCAGGGACATGAGGGGTGATCAGCAACATGCCACCAGCAACAGGTGGCCGACCCAGCTGCCCAGCAGCAGGTTGCCAACACCACGCGCCGAGCAACAGGTGACCAATTCAGCTGCCCAACAACATGTGGCCAGCAGCAACGACGGGATCCCTACACGCGAAATAAGCAACAGTGCGCACTCCCACCCACCAGTGGAAACCAGCGAAACGCGTCAGAGGGTGCGCCGAAGGATATGAGTGATTGCGACGATGATGCGGACAATTGTGATGGCGACGAGGATGAATCACAACGGCCATAATGATGCTGATGATGGTGACGATGGCGATCATGAAGAGATGGTGAACGAAGGTGGATATGAGAGAATACGAGATGTTGTTCAATAGGTGTCCAGCACCAAATGCAGGACAACGTGTGACCAGCCAAGGTGCCGACATCACGCGACCACACCGCACTACATATCAGTGTGGGGGTGGGTATCAGCCCGACGCGCGTATACCAGCGTGGAGATGCACTTCCGTATGCTGTCTATACATGTAGGGATGTGTCACTCCACGCGTAGGGAGGTGCATTCCAAAGCGCTTACACAAGCGTGGGGACATACCTCCCTACGCTACATATGTGAGTAGGGAGGTACATCCCCACACATGACTCTGATGTAGGGAGGTACCTCCCCACATGGGATTGTGAGCGTAGGGGGGTACCTCCCTACGCACTATATTGGTGTAGGGAGGTGACTCCCCACGCGTGTATACATGCGTGGGGAGGCACCTCCCCACACTACATATGGTGTAGGGAGGTACCTCCCCACACATGACTATCCATGTAGGGAGGTACCTCCCCACACGTGGTCAATGGCGTGGGGAGGTGCCTCCCTACACGCCATATCGGTGTAGGGGGGTACCTCCCCACGCGCATATACAGGTGTAGGGAGGCACCTCCCTACACTACATATGGGTGTAGGGAGGTGCCTCCCCACGCATGACTATTCATGTGGGGAGGTACATCCCCACATGTGGCTACGAGCGTAGGGAGGCACCTCCCTACGCGCCATATCGCTGTAGGGAGGTGCCTCCCCACGCATGTATATTCGCGCGGGGAGGCATCTCCCTACATATATCCGCATGCGTAGGGAGGTCACTCCCTACGCTGCGTATTGACGCAGGGATGCACCTCCCCACACATGTCGAATCACGTCGGGGTGATCCCCCTACGCCCGAGCGCGAGCGTGGGGAGGTGCTTCCCTGTATTGAGTACAGCGTAGGGATGTAGATCACTGTGTGCATGATATCATGTAGGGTGGTTACTGCATTCATGCCTCAGTTGTGCGTGGGTGCTATCTACGCATGCGTGCCATCAAATGTGGTAATGTAACTGCTCGTGCGCTGCGCGCACATATAGCTGATGCACTTGCGCGTCTGCCGACGTGTTCTGATAATGCTCGCCGTGCTCGAGTCATCGATATATGCACTTATGGATTCACGCACGCGCGGGCTGATCTTCATGATATGTGTGTGTGTTTAATTATATTGATATGTCGCTCATAGATGACATATGCGTCGCCGCAGCTGTTTCAGCGTATGTTGCATTGATTCCTCCTGTGCTACTGTGCATCAGTACACTCACCATCGACGTGCCAACTACTTCGAACGATGCAGCTCGCAAAGTGATGAAGCGCCCCAAGACGAAGGCCAAGAGCAAAGCAAAATGTCAGCCGCGGCCGAAGCAGATGATCAAGACGAAATGTAAACCAACAGTGGGCGAGCACTCGGACGGCCATGGTACCCCGTGCAGCGCCGCGTCCTCCACTCAGCCGGACCCGGCCCAGAAGACGCTGGAGTGCTTGCCGACGGTGGTGCGCACGCCGAGGCCTCAGCACCCGACTGCAGCGAAGTCTGGCTCACAGCCGCCGCAGACGCCAGAGTCGGGGGTCAAGGTGTGCAGGGCAATTCAACGTAACTACACAGTTGCGACTACTCGTTCCTTTCCTCTGCTTCCTTTCTCATAATGTGACCCTCTACATATTCATGTGATCCCCCCTACACACCTAACATCTGCTCCATCAATGGGCGGGCGTGGTTGGGAGGTTGGGATACATGGTGATGGGGAAGGGCTGGCGAGGAGGAATGATTGCGACGGTGGTCGTGCTTGATGACAATGATTGTAGCGATGGTGGTGATGATGCCTGTGCTGATGCTGATGATTGGGATGCTGCATAGTACGATGGTCGTGGCGATCGTGGGCATGATTGTTACGATGCCGGTGATACTCGTGATGACGATCGTGGTTAGGATGATGATGATGATTGTGCTCATGATGACGATGCTGATAATGACGTTGATGGTGCTGATGATGGCGATGACCACGATGATGTTGATGTTGATGATGGGCATGTCCCCGGGTGTGTGCGTGTGTGTGAGTGGTTTCCAACCGCAGGTCCAGAAGCAGGTCAAGTTGTTCCGCTTCGCCAAGCAGCTGGCCACGCCCCCGAGGAGGATCCGCGGCAGCATCGCCAGTCCAGGCGCCAGGCAGCACAGCCCAGCGGCGAAGAGCGTCGGCACGCCAGACAGCCTGTCGCCGACGGTGCCGATGGAGGGCGACATCCAGCTGATGAGCCCGGCCCCTAGCCACTCAGCGGGGCAGCGGGAGAGTCCGCTGGGACCTCTGGCGGGAGACGCTCTCTCCTCGGCAGGCGCTGCTTTGGGCGAGAACGTTGAGAGCTGCGCCCCAGTCGCCAAGGTCGTGACCGACGGCGACATGCCCAGCCCGTCCCCGCGTCGGCTGGCCGCGGCGCTGTCGGACCCCTGCATGCGAGCGGCGCTGGGGGTCGCCGGCCCCAGCGACTTGCCAGAGGACCCAGGCGCGCCGACGCGCCCGATTGCAGGGGCGAGCATCGAGCGGTCAGAGCACCCGCAGTCCCCGTGGCGGAGCCCTAGCTTGCTGGTGGATGATCAGCCGACCTCGCCACCGCAGCCACAGCCTTCGCCAGCGCCGCCAGCGCGCTGGCAATGGCGTCGGCCGCTGGAGCGGGGCAGCCTCTGGCAAGGCAAGCGGGCGGTCCGGGACTTTTGGGAGGCACTCGATTGGGCGGATCACGCCCTGGATCAGTTGGCCATCGAGCACGAGGTGCAGTGTGAGTCCGAAGACGGACAGATGCTGCAGGACCTGTCGGACAGGTTCGGCAACGATACTGCGTCATGTGCGTTTTCGGGCATCGACGCGCCGGGCGTGGGCATCAACGAATTGTCGTGGGCGCTTGGGCGCAAGCTGAAGGACATCAATGGCCCGGCTACTATGGCGACCGCCGTGAAGCCGCGCATGCTTCGCCACACTGAGTGGTATTGGGAGAGCCAGCAAGAGTTATTGCGGATGCCAGATTGTGATTCTTGCGTTTTCGGTGATATCGAATCTTTCTTCAAACCAGAGCTCGCGGATTTGCTGGAATACCTCAAGACGCACCCTGAGAGCACAGTTCCTCTGCTTGGCCCCTTGGTGATGACGGGCCTCACTGTGAAGACCTGCGGCGCATGCCTGCGCCACGGCGGCACCTGCCCCGCGAACTCTGCCAAGGTGCACTTCGCGGGCACCCCTTGCCCAGATTGGAGCTCGTGCGGTCAACGTAAAGGAGCCGGGGGACGCACGATGGTGCACTTCGTGGCCTGGGTTGCGCTCAGGAGGGCTTTGCAGGAGCCGATCGTGATCCAAGAAAACGTGAAAGGATTTCCCACGGACTTGACGTGTGAATACTTGGGCGACACCTACGACATCACCTCAGTGATCTTGGACTCGGAATCGTATGGGTTTCCTGTTGCACGCACTCGTAAATGGACACTCTTATTGCACAAAACAAAGGTGTTGTCTTGCGACACGCAGTTTGGTGATTTCATGCGCAGGTTCCAGCGCGCCACTATGTTCACGTGGCAGCACTTCTTCACCGCCAGCCCAGAGGAGGTCAGAGATGAACTAGTCGCTGCGGCACGGCGCAGGACGTCCAGAGCAACCCTTCGCGGCCTGAAGGCTGAGGGCCTTGATCCTGCGTGCCCTGCGTCCTTCGAGCTGGCCCTGACGGAGTGGGAGTTTGACAACATGAAGAGCTATCGCGAGGCACACCCGAACTGCATGTACAGCCTCTACCAGTCCCACGCTGCGGGCTTCGGCGCGTTTAGCACGCCGAAGGTGATGCAGACGCTGATCAAGAATACCGGCATGTACTGGGGGGACCGCAGCTCGGTCAAGAAGCCAATCAGGTGGCTCACATCCACTGAATGCTTGGGCACGCAAGGGTTTCCAGTTCTTCGCCGGGCCGGGGATCCGATAACATCTAGCTTCCAAGTCGGTCGCGCCCGCAAGTCTGGCGGGCCAGTTGTAATCAGCATGGGGGTCGGGGTTTGATTCCGGCGAAGGGGTGGGATGAGGGGGGTCGCGTGGCGTGTAGAGCCGACTAGGTGTGGGAGTTTCTGGGAGTTTACCTGGGGCTATTCAGGTTATCTGGCCATATGAGCCATGTGGGCCCACTATCGGCTTGCCTGGGCCCTGATCCCACTACGCCGCAACATCTTGGGATATACCTAGATGGTGGAGGAGTCGAGGAGGAGGAGGAGGAGGAGGGGGGGAGGAGGCGAGGGAGATGACGGGAAAAAAGAAGATACTGATAACTTGATGAATATGTTTCACTACGACTACATGGTGTTTATGATGCTAATGTTGCCCAGGTCGGCCGTTGTCGCCGGGCAGGCCGGCAACGCCATGTGCGTCACTATCCCTGGTCTCGTCTACCTGTGCTCTACGAGCTGTGTGCGCAGGATGGGCCAGGCGTTGATCTCCATTGCGAGGAACGTCAGCTATGCTTGGGCCTGGGGTCACATGCCTGCGAGCCCCCCCCCCCATCTCCCGCAAGCCGCCTCGAACGGCGATTGCCCGAGATGATGGCTCCAACGGCGCTCTCCGGCGCTGCCCTGGAGGGCCTCGATTCTGCACTGGCATGCGCCCGTTGATTGGATTCCCTGGGTGCGCTGACTGACTGACTGACTGCCCCCGCCTGGCGGGCGGCCGAGGGCGCGACAGATGCCGCAACCGCGGGGGGGGGGCCCGAGACGGCTCCAGGAGGGCCGCGGTGGCGTATATAACACACCCTTTAGTTATACACCACTCTTGGGGCTCCAAGAGGGCCCCAAGACGGCCCCAAAGAGGCCCTCCTGGGCCTCTTGGAGCTCCTTCGGTGCCTCCAAGAGGGCCCTGAGCGGGCCCCGAGGCGGCTCCAGGAGGACCGCGGGGGCGTATATAACACACCACCTTTGTGATATACCCCTCTTGGGGCTCCAAGAGGGCCCAAGGACGGCACCAAAGAGCCCCCCCGGGCCTCTTGGAGCTCCTTCGGGGCCTCCAAGACAGCCCCAAGCGGACCCCGAGGCGGCTCCAGGAGGACCGCGGGGGCGTATATAACGCAGCCCCTTTGTTATATACACCTCTTGGGGCTCCAAGCGGGCCCCGAGACGGCCCCAGATAGGCCCCCCTGGGCCTCTTGGAGCTCCTTGGGGTTTTCCAAGAGAGCCCCGAGCGGGCCCCAAGGCGGCCCCAGGAGGGCCGCGGGGGCGTATATAACACACCACCTTAGTTATATACCCTCTTGGGGCTCCAAGAGGGCCCCAAGACGGCCCCAAAGAGGTCCTCCTGTGCCTCTTGGAGCTCTTTGGGGGCCTCCAAGAGGGCCCCAAGCGGGCCCCAAGGCGGCTCCACTTGCGCCGATGACATAGACATCGCCCGAAACCAGCGGTCTCTGCGCAGTTCTGGACGGGCCCGCTGAAACACCCATGCATGTGTTATCCCAATCAGAACGCAGTCGACAGCCTGCGAGCGAGGGCGTTACTGTTACAGACTCCTTCGAAGCAGGAGCAGGAGGAGGAGGAGGAGGAGGAGGAGGAGGAGTCTGAGCATGAGGAGGTGGAGGAGGATGAGGAGGGGAGATGAGGGAGGAGGAGGAGGAGGAGGAGGAGGAGGATGAGGAGGCTGTGGGACGTGATATGATGCGAATGGCCAAACAGGAAGTTCTTGCCCGCTGGCCACGCCGTTCGCATGAAGAGGATCTACAACACACGCGCGAGGGGCAACGAGGAGAGGGAGAATTCGGAGCGCCTTGAAGGCGAGCGGTCGCAGTCCCAAGCTCAGGCCGAGGACGCACTCGACGTGTTCGGCGATTCGTGCCCGGTGCCGGCTCGGGCGGGCAACGCCAAGTGAGCAGCGGGGGGGGCCGCTCGAGCAGCGAGTCTCGCACATGTCGCAGGTGTGTACTTATCATATACGTAGCAACCCGCAACTGCGGATGAGAGCGAGGGCGCGGGCGGGCTGGCGCGGCGCCTGCAACCCACTTGCGACCCGCCAGCCTCGCGACCCGCCCGCGGCCAATCGGCCCCGCCACCCGCTCGCCTTAGATGGGGCCCGAGAGCACTTGAGGGCCCCAGAGGAAGGAGGGAGGAGGGGGGAAACGCTCGCCTCAGAGGGAGGAGCGAGGAGGTAAGTCTTTCGGTCCTTTCAGCATTCGGTCGGGGGCTCAACGAGCGCTCCAAGAGGGCGCCTAGACGGCTCCAAGCGACGCCCAAGCGGGCCCCAAGATCGGCCGCGCGAGATAATATTCAGGCGGCCGCTCTTGGGGCCATCTTTGAACACGTTGGGGTGTGATCTTGGGGCCGTATGACGTGCCTGGGGGCCCTGGGAATGGCGCCAGAAGGTCCCGAGACTGCTCCAAGAGTGCCCCAGTGCCGTTGCTTCAGGGCGGTGAAAATGGTGATGCGGGATCGAGTTGGAGCCCAACTGTGTCATCGGCGGAAGCGTGGCCGTTTTCATGGGCGCAAGGATGTAGGATCGAGTTTGACCCTACACTGGGCCGACGGCGGTGGTGGGGTCGCCGTTTTCGTAGGGTGGAGCTGGGGGTGATGTAGATCGAAGTGGTTCTTACCCTTGTACTTCGGGCCGGCGACGGTGGCGGGGCGGTCGCTTTGTAGGGCGGCCTGGGGGGGGGGGGGGGGCGGGGGATGTAGGATAGAGTTTGATCCTGCACTACACGTTGACCCATTGGCGGGGCCTCCTTGGGGCTCTCTCGGCGGAGGGGCCCAAGAGGGCCCGGAGACAGCTCCGAGAGGGCCTGACAGGGCCTGACGCGGGGTTCACTGCGCTTGAAGAGGGCACCAAGACGGCCCCAGAACGGACCCAAGTCGGCTCTAAAAATGAGGGCGCCGCTGAGGGGCCCGAACGACTCACCCGCGCCGCGACCCGCGCGCAACCCGCCCGCGACCCATTGGCGCCAACAGCCACCCGCGGACCCGCGACCGTCCGAGCCCCACGCGCGCCGCGACCCACCCGCCGCTCACACAACGACGCAAACAAAACACAACCACAACACCACCAACAGCAAAAACAACAACAGCAGCAGCAACAACAACACCAACAACAACAATAACAGCAACTACATCAAGAGCAACATCAACACCAACAACGACAACACCACCAACGCCATCTGTTTGCCGCCAGCCTGCCTGACCTGCCTGACTGACTGCCAGACTGCATGTCAGATGTTCGCGTATTCCACTCGCCGCGTGCCTGGGAAACACGAGCAGTTGGCGCGCAGTCAGGCAGCCTGGCGGAGAAAAATCACCAACATAAGCAACGCGCATACTCCTCACCGCGGATCCCGATCACCATTGCAGCCACGCGCCCAGGGACCCAGGAACACTGCAAGACCGTTCGGTAACCTTTTCTATGATATGATGTGTGCATGACCAGCATGCCGTCAGGGCGGCTGAATCTATAGGTTTGCATCTGCGCGGGCCTGGCTAGAAATGAATATAATGTGTATGTCATGAACGTAGTGTCACGTGTGTCTCAAATATATCGACAGTGTGTTCAGAGTGAGTACGTGGGTTGCCCAGACCCAGCCAGAGCCCGCGCATTTGTTGACAGCCCTGCAAAGATACTCTGGTCGGTTCGTTGCTTCGATGCTACGATGCTGGGCCAGATGCGCGCTACCCACCTTTTTCGGCTGGGGCTTTTTTTAACACACGTTAGCATGATCATGTATCCTTGGGGCGCCCAGGGTGAGCTGAGGTCGTGCACTTATATGATATAATATCATTGGATACGCTCGCCTTCCGCGCGGCTGCGCGGCTCCAGCTGCCGAGAGACACATCATGATCGCATGGAGGGGCCCCGGGGGCCGCGTTCGAGATCGGCATGTTAGTGTCAGCGCAGCTGGAGCATAATTGATTTCAAGCGTTCATCTTTAAGTATGATCCGCGTGCAGAGAATTCCTGGCCTGTGGGCGCCTTGCCCGCCGGGCGCGTCGCTGTCGCGCATCGCCGCCGCGTCGCCGCCCCGGGCGCGGCGCCCGCTCGCCGTTTGTTTCGAGACTGCGGGCCTGTGGGAGCCCTGCCAGCCGGGCACGTCGCAGACGCCTGTCGCTGCTACGTCGTCTCTCCAGGCGCGGCGCCCGCTCGCCCCCACATGGTTTCGGCACCGCACTCGCATTGCAGGCAAGCGGTGGCCCGCGTGACGACGCGCAAAGCTGTGGACCAGTGGGCAAGATGCAACGCAGGTAGCAAGTACAATCCAACTCACGTCGCCACGAGTTGTGGGGGGGATCTTCGGGCCGTGGCCCTCCTGCTCCATCCATCCTCGCTCTCCCTCTGCTCCTCCGTTTGTCCTTCCCGCGCGCTCGGGCGCGCCCTCGGAAACCCCGCGAGGGCCCTTGGAGGCTGGGCCGCGGACCGTGGGGGGAGGGGGAGGGGGGGGCATGGGGGGAGGCTTAGCAGGGCAAGCGCTTTAGCCGACAGGAATGTGTTTTTCTTTGGTCGGATGATTTTGGAGGGCTTAGGATGGCTTAGGATGTTTAGGATGTTGAGGGTGGTTTAGAATGCTCTAACCCATCCTAGGACAACAACGTGTCCGTAACGTGTCCTACCATCTTAAGCGCCGAGAGTTAACACAAGTAAGTTTTCTGTCAGCTCTCAGCTCTGGGGCTCCATGAAGGCCCCTCGCTGCCCCCATGGGAGCCCTGGGCTGGCGCCAAAGGGGTGCCGGGGCGGTCCACCTGGGGTGTCTTGCAGCAAGTGTTCGCCCGTCTCAGCACTCTCGCATTTTCCATCTCCCGCCTCCCCGCCTCTTCCTCATATGCTATTGCTGTCTTCCCCGTTGCCTCCTCCTCCTCCTCCCGTGGGTGGTCCAGATTGGGGCGAGGGGGGGGGGCGGTCTTACGCCGCCGCGGACGGGGCCTTGGTGGGCCCGCGGGATGGTGGCCACAATTGGGCCATCGTCGCTACCCTATCCGCAACTGCTGGGATTGGGGGCGCGATGCCATCGCGGGCGAGAGGAGATGGTAGCATGCCGAGCCGGGCGCCTCGCGACCCCCAGGACTCGGCCGAGATCGCCGCCGTCGCGAGCCAGCAGGCCGGGTCTGCCTGCCGCGCGGGCGAGCGACACTCGGGAGGGCGGGTCGCTGGGCGAGAGGAGCAAGTGAGGGACTGGGGCCCAGCGCTGCGTTTTTCTGCGCTTTCCCACGCGGTGTGCCCGCGTATTTTCGAGTCGTTTCAATCATGGGCCCAGGGGTCCGCTGCGTGCAATCGCGGGCCCGGGGGGCCCACAACGCGCGCCTTGAATTGTGGGGAAGTCTCCGAATGAATGGGGTCGCCTGGTTAATGGCAACGGCCCACGGCGTGATATCAGGGAAACTATGGCACTATGGCCAGGGGGTGCATGGGCCAGGAGACGTGGAGATCGAATGCAGGGATGGGTTCGAAGGATCGACGTACACACTTATGAACAAAACGCATCGAAATCCATTCCTGGAGCGGTCTTGCACCAAAGGGGTAAAGAGATCACTCGGGGTCGAAGTCCATCGGCATTCCAAAAGCGCGGTTGCCTCTGCCACTGGAGTAGATTGGATAGGGTGCAATCTGGGATCAGAAATACATGTGGGCAGGAACCGCGTAGGGGGCATGGTTAAAACGAAAACAATCACTGTACTAACTCACTGGCTGAAACATGACTCGTAACACTGGACAGACTGACTGAACACAAATCTTACTGGCTGACTCAAGTTAGAGAAACGACAGACTCTAATAACAAGTGGGGGGGACACCGACGCACTTGAGGTGAGGACTTGGAGCGCAGTGCTCGGGGCTCGCAGGAGGCCCTTGGACCTATGCTCCTCGTCACTCGTCCTCAAGCGAATCGTTTCCCCTCCTCCTCCTTGGTCCTGTGGGGGGAAGAAGGAGAGGCCCCGCGCCGCCGCCCCCTCCCAACCCGACCCCAATCCCAAGCCCATCGGCATTACAGCATTTGCCTCGAGCCATTGTTGCTGCACTTGCAGTTGGTGCAAGTCTGACTACTACTACTGTGCCCTGCTTCGCCTCTGTGTGAAGGCGAGACCACCGAGGCACACTCGCGCTGGATTTGACAGTCTGCGATGGCGGCTGCGCTTCCGCCTGCTACGGGCGGTGGGTCGAGCGGTGGCGCCCCGACAGCAGCTGCGCAGCAACCTCGGCAGATTGACCAGTCGGCCTTGGCTGCAGCTGACAGGAACGCCCCGCAGGATCTCTTGAAGGCCTTCTTCAGCCAAGATCAGGACGTCGTCGACGTCCTTGGCGTGGAGAGCGGCCTCCTCAGGCTCACGAAGGTGTTCGAACTCTACGAGCTCAAGCCATCGCCCACCCACGTGAGCTTCTTCGATGAGAAAGGGAACAGGCAGATCTTCCGCGACGCTTGCAACCAGCGCAAGCAGGAGTCGGTCAAGGAGGAGTTGATGTCCAGCATCGCGGATCGCGGCCTCGTTCCTGGAGTTGCCGGGGAGCCCTGGCTTTGCTGTTCGGATGGCGAGGTGCCGCCGTGCCACGCTCTCACCTTTGGGGGGAGGTCAGACGCCATCTACGAGCTGGCAGAGAAGCAGCCCACCAACCCGCAAGTGATGGAGACCATCAAAGGCGGCATCATGGCAAGGAGGTTCACATCGAAGATGCCCAAATGGTTGCGGGTGTGGCTCCGCGATTACCACAACAACTCAGTCTTCCAGCGCGGCAGCACCTACTCATACATTGAGCTCTTGAAAGAGATCCCGGAGATGGAGGCACGACGTATTGAGCATGGTTGAGTATGGTCGGGGGGGTTGGTTCGGGCCATTGGCGGAATGTGATCTTTGTTCGTTTTATTCGGCTTGTTTGGGGCAGGTTGGATCCTGCCCGTCTACCCAGGGCAGGGCAAGGTTACCCAGTTCTACTTCTTCTACCCAGAGAAGAAATAACATTGGGTCTTGAACGTGGGTTTCTGGGTTCTGGGTTTCTTGGGGTCCGTGGAGCATCGCCTTTGGCCCGACCCAACCCCCAGCCTAGTAGGCGAGCTGGCATGCCGCGAAGGAGGGCCACGTCACCGCGCGCTCCGGCAACTACGAGCAGGCCTATTGGAAGCACATCAAGGATCGCTACGGGGACAAGGTCACATCGTGGGCGCAGTTTGACTCTGCAAAGTGCCTGTATCGCAAGCTGCTCAAGCTCGAGGTCCTCCATGATCATTTCGAGTGGGCGGAGCAGCACGTTGAGTTCATGAACTCTCGCATCTCGCAGCACATCGTCATCAGCAATATGCACGCCATCGCGAATTTCATCGTTGCCAAGTTCGACGGGTACATGTCTCCACTGAACTTGAGGGTCCTCGTGGGTGAAAGCATCAAGTTTGTTGTCCCGTGCCGCCCTTCCAGTCAGCAGCGCAGAATTCCTTGGCTATTTGACGCAGGCGGCGCTTCAGTGACAGAGAGGTTGCAGTATCTGTGCTTCCCCTTGGACAAGGACTCCCAGGTGCGCAAGAAGTCCGTGGCCAAGACGAAGGCTAAGGCCAAGGCCAAGCCAAAGGGTGGCAAGGCCGCCAAGGCCAAGGCCAAGGCTTCCGCTCAGCAGGATTCCGCCGCCTCCGCAGATCTGCCCCCGGTGGAGTCCATGTCCCTCGAGCTGAAGAGCGACCTCGACATGTCATCTGCCCGCGAGAGGCTCCGGGGCCCGAGCGGGGAGCTGAGGGGGCAGCAGACAGCGGGCAGGGGCATTGGGCGAGCGTGGCGCCGAAACGCGACCCGACGCCATGCTGCGACGCTGGCTTCGGGCGCCTTCGACGCTTGGCCCGCCCAATGTCCTCGCCCCTTGTCGGCGCCTCCCACTCGCTCGTTCACGGCCCCGGGTTCTTCGGCGACGACTTGCTGATGGCGGTGGACTTCGCGGTGGAGGCAGTGTGCAAGCGCCCAGAGCGCTTCGAGGAAGGCGCGAAGAAGATCAAGGGTGAGCTTGTCAACATCGGCTTAGAGTTCCTGTGGAGGAAGGACAAGAAGGTCTACTTCAAGGGGTGTCACTGGGCGGCCTGGAGTCTCTTGCGCAAGACGCTCCAGGAGAGCGCCAAGGACGCCGCCGAGAAGCTGATCCTCTGGGCCGACGGCGACGACGACGAGGAGACCCCAGCCGGCGACGCGGCAGCCGCGGCAGCAGCTGGCCCAGAGAAGTCTCGAGCGCCCAACCCAAACGCCATCCTCAAGGCGTTGGTGACCTCTGCCGCCGTCGATGCCAGCTCTGATCCCCAGAAAAAGATGGACGACTCGCTGCAAGTACATTACAAGGATGATTTCAGGAAGCTCGAAGAGTTTGTGAGCACGAACCGCACCCTCAAGCTGAAGGCGAACCTTCAGCAGTTCTACCCGCAGCTGCTCAATACCATCCTCCAGAAGCTCCCAGATCAGACCATGGCCTTGCCCGCGTTCCTCTGTGGGATCCTGTCCGGTGTGGCTAGCAGCGTTTCAGAAACCGCCATCTCTTCCACCGTCCATCGCCAAACCTGCCCCTCCTCAGGCCCCTCTCCCGCTTCCATCCTCGCCGTTCAGGGGCCCAGGGGCCCCCAGGGGGCCCAGGCAGCCGGGCGCCGCCCCCGCCTCCTCGCCAGCCCCCGGGGCTGTCAGCCCCTCTTCCTCTTCTCCGCCTCCTTCTCCTCCTCCTCCTCCTCCTCCTCCCCCTCCTCCCCCCCCTCCTCCTCCTCCTCCTCAGCCTCCTCCTCCTCCTCCTCCTCCTCCTCCTCCTCCTCCTCACTCCTACTCCTCCTCCTCCATCTCCTCAATCCTCCTCCTTCTCCTCCTCCTCTTCCTCCTCCTCCTCCTCCTTCCTCCTCCTCCTCCTCCTCCTCCTCCTCCCCCTCCTGGGCCCATCCCCCTCCCCCCCGCCCTCCCCGGGTGGGGGGGGGCTTGCAACCTACCGCTCTGCCAGCCCAGGTGAATGAGCTTGGCGTGTTCACTGTGTCCTGCATGGACATGATCGTGAACGTGTTCGCCCATGTGAATGACACTTGTGAGATGCCAGTTGCGTTTGGAACCATGTGCAAGAGTGGCGGTGCCGATCTTGCAAAATTAATGCATTTCCGCGGTGAGCTCACGAGCTGTTTGATCAAAGATTTGATTGATTCGAAGCCAATCGGAGAGTTCCACCACAGCGATGGAGACGGGGCCGCTCTTCCAGCCCAGGCCGTCAAGGCGTTCATTGCCAAGATTTCCGAGAAAGATTTGATCGAGGTGTATGCTTCGGACGCGATGCAGAGAGGCGAGCAGGAGTGGGTCGGCTTCTGGGACGCCCTCATCAAGGGCGGCGTTGGGGGAGGCAAAATCGCAGCCTTCCTCGGCGTGGCGACGAGCGTCGGCAGCAGGAAGCTGAAGCGGGAGCGGAGCATCCGGGATGGGGCCCAGGGCGGAGGGGGCTCAGCCGCCGGCGCTGTGCAGGCCGACCAGCACAACAAGTTGTTGGTCAAAGTTAGCGACCTGTACGTGTGTGCCGCGCCCACCGCCCAGTGCCACGACTTCGTGCGTCTCATCAGCGGGCCTGCTTTGAAGTACATCGAGTCGCAGCTGACGGCACATATATGGAAGCTGCACAGGTTGGCCCACCTCAGCGGCGGGGCCGCATCAGCTGCGGACAATGTGTCAGTGGATGTTTCTGGCCAGAAGCCTAAGACTGCGTGCTTGGCAAGCAAGCCCGTGGATCTTATCTTCGCTGCCCCCGTGACGTCCGTGAAGGGCAGGGCCAACTTCATGCCTCTGTGTAGCTTGTTCAGTGGCAATTTCGAGATGTTTCTGAATGGCACTGCGGTGAACACCAACACGAGCGACATGATCGTGCCAGCATGGTGTATCAACGTGGTTGACAAGCAGGCCGACTCCAATGTTCAGACGCTGTTCCTGGTCGAGACTGTCTATGCCACTGTCGGGTTCGACCTCTATTTCACTGACATCGCGATCATGTCGGAGCCAGACCGCGAGAACCCCAGCGACGGCGGCGGCAGGCCCAGAGATGACGCTCCAGCACAGCCGCCAGCGAAGAAAGCTAAGCAGAGTGAGGGGGTTGCAGGCACTGGTGACAGCGGCATGGCACCAGTCGTCGGCCCAGGGCCCAATGCGGCCGACGCCGACAGCACGTTTTTGGAGGTGTTGGGCCCGTCGCAGGATGAGGTCCGACGGGGGTCACTCTGTACGCTTTTAAGGTGTCAATCCCGTTCGCGCGCTACCAGCCGGAGCCGCCGCAGCAGGGCGCACCCCCCTCGGCGCCTGACGCCGTGACGTACCTGAAGCGCATGCTCACGCCCGATGAGGCGGAGGCAAAGCGCCGCCAGCGTGCCACCGCCAGCGCTGCTCAGGCAGCGGCGGCCTCGAGTGACACAGCTTCCTCCGCGCTTGCTGGCACGGGCGGCGTGATTGCCAGGGTCCGCGAGCAGCAGGGCGGCGGCGACTCCCTTCAGCCGGGGGGGAAGCCCGTGAGCAGCGATGTCGATAAGTCGCTCAAAGCAGCATGCAGGCATCTTACAAATTGTTGCCTTTTCGGACTCACCAAGGGACCCTGGGACCTTGAAAGCGTGGAAGGGGTGGGAGGGGAGGGTGATATCAAGATGCTGTGTTTGAAAATCATATGTCGGGAAGGCCCCGGGGAGGTCAGGTCGCCAGGTCCGGAGTCCAGTCCTATGCATTTTTGTCTGCGCTGGGCCGAGCGAGGACCGACAGGCTACGGACCGACGTGGTTTCCGTCGACGGTTTCCGTCGCAATGTGCTGCGCCAGGCCGTCTCGTGGCTGGCCCAGGGCTAATTCGCGCGCGTCGAGACGGGAGGGGCTGAGAAGCAAGTGCAGCAGTGTAGTACGCGGTGGCAGTAGCTAGGGAGAGGATCGGAGAGGGATTAGGATAATAATTAAAATAATGACGGGAAGGAGGGGGGCAGATATACACAGGGTGTCTGTTTGTCTTAGCGCACCTCGAGTCTTTTCAAAGTTAACTGCGCAAGCTGCGCACTGCGCGCTGCGCCTCTTCTACACTCGCCCCTCCTCTCTGATCCTGCTCCCCACTCCACTCTGTCATGTCATGCAGCTGTCCTTCTTCTTATCTCCCCCGATCCTCCTCCTCCTCCTCCTCCTCCTCCTTCCCCTCCTGCTCATCCTCTGATCCTCTGCCTCCTCCTCCTCCTCCTCCTCCTCCTTTTGTCACTTTTGTCTTCGCCCTGCAGTTTGGCGGTGGCGGCCGAGCGCGTTGGCACGCCGCCATTCTGTGCCTTCCGTCGGAGGCAGCCCAGGTCGCCGGCCTCCTCCAGAGATGGCGGGAGTGCGGGAGTGTGATGAGGTTTTCGGTGGATGGGAGTTGGTGGGCGTCCTGGGTGAGCCTTCGTCGCGGACCGCGCTATGACGCGGCTCGTGCATTATATAATAAAATATCATGCACAAACAAACAGTTGGCGCTGTCAGCGCCTGCCTGCTCTGCAGGAAAGTGCGACTGCCCCTGGGCCCCTGGGCCTCCTCACCTTTCGTCCTTGTTGCGTCGTCGCCCAACCTTTTCCATCAGCCTCCTCCCTGTAATCTTGTACTCGTAACTCTTCCTCTATGTCCTCATCCTCCTTCCCACCTCCCCATCCTCAGCCATCTCGTCCTAATGGTGCATCCTGGTGGCGGGCAGTCCTCCCTGTCCTCCCTCCCTGCATCGCGCACCCCCGTGCAAGAGAGCCGATACATAGCATGCACGCAGTGTTGCCTTCCTTCTTCCGTCCTGCCATCACGTTTCAGCATGCGATGGGCGCGTTGATGACCGTGCAACTGTGCACCCACATGTTGCTCCTCTGCCTCCTCCTCCTCATCCTCAGCTCCTCCTCTCCTTTCCCATCCCCTTCCCAGCGCGTTCCCTCGTGTGGCCGAGCTCAGCGGTCTTACAATGTCCATGGGTCCCTGGGTGCGTTGCCGAAGTGGGGTCAGCGGTGAAGGTTATGTTTGTTATTGTTCTTGTTGTTGCTGTTGTTGTTGTTGCCGCCGTTGCCGTTGTCGTTGCCGCTGCGGATGCCATTGTTCGTGCTGCTGTGTGTTGCTGATGTCGTTGTTGGTGTTTGTGTTGTTGGTGGTGGTGGTGTGGTGTGGTGGTGGTGACTGCTGTCGCTGCTGTTGCTGTTGTGGTTGTCGTCCCGGCGGGTGGGGCGAGGAGCGGGCGAGCCGCGGTGCGGGTGGGTCGCGTGTGGTTTGCTGTGTGGTTCGCTGCGCCAGTGGGTCGGGAGCGGGTCGCGGGTGGGTTGCATCGCAAGTGAGTCGTTCGGTCCCCTCATTGGCGGCTTGTGGGGCCCCCTTGGGGCCGTCTTGGGCCCATCTAGGGGCCCCCGGGGGCCGTTGGGTCAGTCTCTCTTCGGCCCTTCCGATGGCCCGATGGCCATGGGAAAGATTCCCAGGCAGCCCCGAAATGACTCCAAGAGGCCCCCAAGAGAGCACAAACAACAGTCGCGCCAGAGATGCTTGGTGTGACCACTCTTGGGGCCCTCGAACCGTCTTGGTGGCATCTTGGGGCCATCCCCAAGGACATGAAACAACCCCACTAGGTGTTAAGGGTGGCTCCAACAGGCCCCAACAGCGGTCATGCGAAGCCACGTGGCCGATCTTGGTGCGGGGGCTTCTTGGAGCCGTCTTGGGGCCCTCTTGGAGCCGTCTGGGGCCCTCTTGGGACCGTCCCTCCGACCGAGAAGTGGTGGGGGCAGAGCGAGGCGCGCGTTTCCTATCTCTCGCCTGCCCGCTCGGAGCGGCATTCAAGTTGTAACGTTGTAGCCGCGCCCATCGACTAAGGACTAGGGGATGATGTGATATGACAATGATGATGGCAATAATGAAGCTGATGATGATGATCCGGGTGAATGATGACGATGGTGATGGTGATGATGCTGATGATTATACCGATACTGGTGGTGATGATGATGATGATGATGGTGATGATGGTGGTGATGATGATGATGACGATTGCGACCCGCTCGCCTCTCGACCCGCCCGCGACCCATCGGCTCTGTCGTCCTCGCGGCCTCGCGTCTTGAAAAGGCGCGAATGCACCCAAGTCCCCAGAGGGAGGAGGTAGGGGCTGCCACGGGGCGCTAACGGTCCGTTAGCGCGCTCATCCGAATACTCATCATTTTAGCATCGCCCCCTTCTCCTAATCCTCCTCATCGTCACGTCGTATACGTGGTTCCTCCTTGTCCTTCTCCTCTCCTCCTCCTCCTCCTCTTCCCACTCCTCGCCCCGCTCGCCCTTGGCCGCCCCTGGCCACCCGTGGACCCGTGGACACCAGCCCCCCGCCAGGAGTGAGCGCGCCTGCGCCGCTGCGCCAGGTTGCCCGGCGGGGCCCGGCAGGCCGGCGGACGGACGGCGGCGGACGCCGCGCGCCGGCGGACGCGGGCCCGCGGACGCGGGCCAGAGCGGCAGCGAGGGAAGGAGAGGGATAATGAGGATGGATGGGGAAGGAGATTTCGAGTAGGATTGAGTGGAGGGGGCATCAGGGAGGAGAAGGACACCGTCCTGGAAACACCACCTGGCTGCATGACAACGCTGCAAATGGGGAGGCGGAAAAAAAAAAAAAAACGACAAAGGGATGAGGAGAAGAGAGATAGATAGAAAGGGGGAGAGAGGCATGAGGAGATGAACCAGGGGCTAGGGCTCTATTCACTTATCCTGGAGCCTCACTATGCCGACCGACCGATGCTGCGCACACTTTCGCGAAATCCACGATGAGCCGAGGGTCGAAATCCACGAAAGAGAACCCTAGAGCCCCCCAAGCAAGCGGCGGGTTCGAGCGACAACATTCGGTATCGCGTAGAATGGGGGGGGGACAACAGCTGCTTTCGACCCTCGTCCCATCGTGGATTTCGCGACAGGTGTGTTTCGGCGGACCCGCGTCCTAAGATTATCCCATTGTCCCCGGCGTCCATCCTGGGGGAACGGCGCTCTTGATTCGCCCTTGTCCCCGATCGGGGTTCCAGGACTGACAAATCGTTCCGCATGCGCACATCATATTGCTCAGACCTGGGACGGATGGTATATACTTAGGAGGCCATGAAGTTGTTCGAGCACCCTTGGAGCGCCTCGCCTTCCCACCTCCTCTTCTTCCTCTCCTCCCCTGCGCTTCCTATTATCATTGTCTCTCTTTTCTCCCTTTCTCTCTCTGCTCTCCCCTCCCTCTCTCTTTCTCTCCGTCGCTCCATATTTCGATATCTCTCTGTATATCTCGTTTCATCTCTGGGAACTGTTCTCTGCTTCTTTACTCTTATGTTCCCACACATCCGTGGGGAACCTCGGGGGTATCCGATTCTGCTCGCCTCCCTGCGGTCGCTTGCTGCGGTCGGCTTCGTCTCACAGAAGGTTGTGGATATTACGAGTTTTCGGCTCCCCCCCCCCTCGTCCGGACTTCAACAATTTACAGTCGGAAGCAGAAGGCAGGATTGGAATATTGGAGACTGGAAACTGGAACTTGTGGAGGGCACTGAAACCTAATCCTCGCAGCCTGATGGCCCCACAAGGGGGCCAGGGGATGCTCGGTCATATTTATATACATATATGTATGTATATGTATATATATATATATATGTTGTTTGTGTTCCTATCTCCCTCTCTCAATATAAGACTTTGTTGCCGAAGGTCCCTCGGTCCCCCCGAAGGAACTCCAAACATTGTCCCTGCACTTCTCGTTGCCAACTTCGATGCGAGTTTGTTGGGCGCGGCTAGAACCTCAGCGCGCGTGTGAGTATAGTACACGTGTGTCTGTATGTACTTGTAAGAGCAAGTGCCGTCAATCGGATATATCGGGGCATAGACATGCACGTGCATGTATGTCTATATGTGTACGCAAGTTCCCTCCGAGCTCACAGGAGGCTTCTCGGAAGGCTTGGTGTCTTGTGAGGAGGCGGGGCCGCCTTCTGAGGAGGCCCGCTTCCACTCTCGCACCCCCACGGCGCGCCGCCGAACCGTGCTGCCGGGGGGGCGTTGCGGCGACGTCGCCGATGCATCGGTGATGCCGTTCGCATCGGCGAGTCTCCGACCGCATCTACAAGGGCTCCCTCGAGGGCGCGAAGTTATTTGCGCTTCGCGCTTCGCGGTCCTCGTTCCTTCTCCCCCTCCTCCTCGTCCTCCTATTCTCCCTTTGGGAGGGCGGCGCGAGAGCGCGAAGTTATTCGCGTTTCGCGCTTCGCGCAGCGCGAAGCGCGAAGTTGGGAGCTTGGCCGTACGGGGGGGGCGTTCGTTGAGGAATGTGCCCAAGGGGCTTCAGGCCATGGCGGATTCCTCA